GGAAACTGTGAACCTGTTTCAGAATGGACAGACTTCTAGTGTAACTAACTATAAAAGACAGATTTGTACAGTTTGTTGGGAATTCTCCGGGGTAGCTTTGAAGTTGAAGTAATGACTCAGATGTCGCTGATCACATTACATAGCCGATTTATAATTAATTCGGCAAATGGAACTTCAGATGCGTTTGCCCAAGTCTCGTCAAGGAAAAGTCCAAACCATTCTCCCAGCAACACTATATTAGATGATAAGCTTTAAGGACCCAAACAACATGAAAGGGTTAATCAAGAGTTTTTCCTTCTGACTGATTCTAATAAATGAGATTAAGAAATCGTTACGCACTTTCTTCTTAACTGTGTGGATGACCACCTGAGTCTAATGATTAAACTTGAGTCTTGTCACGTGTTTGTTTTCTGATTAATAGAAGCTACAAGGGCTCTTAAAACTGGTTCAAATAAAATATTTTAACAATCAGTGACTGCAACAGTATACTAAGTGTACTTCTTCCCTGTGTTTAAGGGCATTTATTTTCATCTGTGGTTAAAGAGGAAAGATCTGTTCAATAATATTATTAAAAACCTTCTAAATGTTTCCAATAACACAATTCAGTCAACACATCTCAAAACAAGAATCGGAAGTTGCAACTCGTTCAGTTTGAGTTCAGTTCTGACTAAACTCCTTTAAGCTGCACTTAATCCTTCAAAACAATGAAAGTGATTTCATCTCTCTTCTTTTCCCCTGGTGAAGAAGATTTTCAATGATACCTCGCGATGAAAACCACTTCTTTATCGAACCTCTTTTCATCATTATCTAAAACTCTCTTGAAAGTTATGGTTTCCTCCAGCCATTTCTCTTCGGTAGCAAACCCTTCAAATCTCGAAACGTAAGCAAAATGCTCGGCCACACCTTGAATGAACAAGACACCTTCGCTTGGAACTAGAGGCCGGTTTGAATTTTCCGCGGGAAGATGCAACAATAACACAAACTCTCCGACGCTCAATTCTCCGTCTTTTCCGAATTCCATCAGCAGTTTAAGGGCAACGAAGATAATTTCATTTTTTCTTCGCCAGGTAAAGATTTTCTTATCTCTCCACTGCAACCGCTTCTTTATCGCATCTCTTTCCCCTATTTCTAAACCTCTTTACATAGGCAAAATTTTGCAACCTTTTCTCTCCGGTTGAAAACCCTCGAAAGCTTGACAAATATTGAAAATGCTCGGCCATATCTTGAGTCACTAGCAAGCCAGCCTGGCTTGGAGCTGGCGGCCGGTTTCTAGCGATATTTCTCCAGATTTATTTAGGACCTACAAATAATATTATAATTTTTCTTTGTCTTTAGCCAATCACCTCCAAGGACTGTGACTAGTCCACGTTCTCCTTCTCCTCCATCATCACGCACTCCTCAGAGAGCCACCTTTATTGTTGGTTCACCACAGTCAGTATCGCCAGTCTCTCCCCCTTCCCCTATGGTACAGGCCCCTCCCGCCCTTTCCCCATTGTCATCTCCATCATCTGCAGAATCCTCTCCAGTTGAGATCCCAATTAGAAAGCGCACAAGTTCCTCTCCAGGACCTGCACAAAAAGGTCAGCCATCATCCACTCCCCTGCCCATTCCACGCACTGGAAGTTTACCCAAGCAGGCATCTTCTAGAAATTCTTTGTCCCCCACTCACCGCAGAGCAAGTTCAGGCACGACTCCTAGAAAGCAGGGAGTTGGTACCCCATCCTCTAAACCCTCAATAGGCAATAGCCCAACTAGTAACCCAGGTGCATTGAAAAGTAGCAGTAGCCAAAAAAACAGTCCAGCAACACAGAGGCAAGTAGCTCAAGTTAGCCCGAAGGGATCCTCACTGCTGCCGCTCAAGCTATTAATGCGCAAGCGCAGGGGTCTGAGATGACCGTGGGCTTGCACCAGAAAGCTTTTGCAGGATTCTCTAACACAATTGCTAACAAGGGACTGGCAAGTAAGGCAGCAGTTGGGACCTTCCGAAGAGCACTGTCAAATATTGAGCCTTCGGTTACTCAGTGACCAGACAGCTCGCCGATATTGACAACCCTGGCTCGTCATTCAAGTTCTGGAATGGGTATCCCAATAACAGACCTCTCTGAGCCAGGAGCAGAGACTAAGCAGATCATACGCGTGCATAGCTCGCCCGCCATACTAGCAATGGGCCTTCGAAGGAAGGGAAGCTTGCTGACATCACCAGGGTTCCAACTAGGGGCTACAGGGGCAACTCCCGTATTTCGTCGGAACTCAGGTGGTGGATTCACCCCCCTGAGGGGAAAAAGTCTGCCTATTTCATCTTCCCCTACAGGTCTTGCAACCATACCGGGCTCACCGACTAAGACATCCCATAGTACGGAGGCTAGAGATCCCATAGTTGATCCTGACAATGAGATGAAGCCCTTGAAGGGTCTTTTTACGGTTGGGTCGTGTTCGCCCAAAACGAGGGAGAATGTGTTTCTGCTCAGGAAGAATTCAGCAAACGCTAGTAAGAATGGACAGAAACCTGCTGTTGTCAGTCAAGGTAAACATAGGATTTGCACCATATTAAGAAGAATTTATGAAGAGAGATTTTTAGTATTTGCTTCGAAATGTGTTTATGGTAATTTGATGTTGTAAGAACTACTTTATTGCTACTGCATGTGAGTTGCATAGAGACCGTTCACCCTGACGCCTTAATTATCTCGACAGGAACTAAGGTTACTCTCGGATTTGGAGACAATTTCCCCCGCAGGAGCCCCAAGAGACTTATGGTTGGTTCACAGGAAACCGAAGCGTCTTCTCCCGACATGGAAGGCCCAATAGCCCTCATAGCTCCTGAACTGCCGGAAGATACTCTCTTAGATGTAAGAAAATAATTACAACTGATTTATTGCAGAACTTTTCCATTGACTGTGGTGAAACAAACACTAACGCGTTCATAACGCCGAATCAAAGTAAAGGAATATCTCATTATATATCTATATTTAACAATTATTCGCCGAAGGCGAGGTGAATATCATCGAATAATCCCCGAGACGAAGTCAAGGGGATTATTCGACAATATTCACCGAACCTGAGGCGAATAATTGTTTTAGTATAATTTCAGAGCTGAACAACAGAGAAATTTCTAAACAACAGAGAAATTTCTAAATTCATAACATTTTAGTAACATTTATTGACATTTTATTTTAACATTTTGTATAAAGCGCGTGGAGCGATT